GGACAACGGGCAATGATTTAAACTGAAAGAGGGCAGATTTCGATTAGATATAATCTAAATACATGGAGCTGCTGGAGCAGGGCCACAAAGATGATCCAAGGGCTGGAACACCTCTGCTATGAAGACAGGCTGAGAGAGTTGGGGCTGTTCAGCCTGGAGAAGAGAAGGCTCCAGGATGATCTTATAGCAGCTTTCCAGTACCTAAAGGGGGCCTACAGGAAAGCTGGAGAGGGACTTTTGACAAGGGCGTGTAGTGATAGGACAAGGGGCAATGGATTTAAACTGAAAGAGGGGAGATTTAGATTAGATATAAGGAAGAAATTTTTCACTCTGAGGGTGGTGAGGCACTGGAACAGGTTGCCCAGAGAAGTTGTACATGCCCCATCCCTGGAGTGTTCAAGGCCAGGTTGGATGAGGCTTTGGGCAACCTGGTGTAGTGGAGGGTTTCCCTGCCCATGGCAGGGGGGTTGGAACTACATGATCTTTGAGGTCCTTCCCAACTCTAACCATTCTATGATTCTAAATGATTACTAAAGAGCTTAATCTCTGCTCTTGCTTTTATTTCCAAAGGATGAGCACATAAAACATTGAAATGAGAAAGTGTCACTGTAAAAACACTGAAGTGAAATATTTCCACATCTGATCTATATGAAATATCTGATCACTCTTTTAAATTGTGTACTTAATTTCATGAACTACATTTCAACACTGTATCTTCTTATTGCTCTTTAGTGGGAACTGTAATACATGTCTCTGTTCTTTTGTATGGAAACCCCTCAATTCTCAGCATACACCCAGGCACCTCATCTCCATGATGTACCAGTAAAAGGGAAAACATTTCTTCCAGAAAACTTGATTGCTAAGAGGAAGCAGCAGTTCAACTACAGGTATCACACATGAATGAGCAAATACGAAAATAATTTTTCTAATTAACTGAAAATGAATCCTACTGGTCAGCTCAAAGAAGAAAATATTGACACAGGAGAGAAACAAAGAAAAACTATCATCTCTGCAGAAGGCTTCAAAAGACAGATGACAAAAGACAAAATCTTGGCGTTCTTCTTAAAGACAAAAAGCTTAAAAAAAATATGCAGCATGGAAAACTAGATTAAAATGAACCTAAAGAGGACATGACTACAAGAACAGAAGCCAGAATTCCTCACAGGAAATCACTTAACATCATATGTTAAAAAATAAAAATAAAAAAGTGTTACATTAGGTTGTCATAGTTTAACCCCAGCCCAGCCACTAAGCACCACACAGCCGCTCACTTGCTCTACCCCACCAGTGGGATGGGGGAGAGACTCAGAAAGGTAAAAGTGGGAAAACCCATGGGGTTGAGATAAGGACAGTTTACCAGGTAAAGCAAAAGCCACACACACAAAGCAAAGCAAAACAAGGAATTCATTCACTACTTCCCCATCAGCAGGCAGGTGTTCAGCCATCCCCAGGAAAGCAGGGCTCCATCATGCATAACGGCTACTTGAGAAAACAAACACCATCACTCCAAACATCCCCCCTGCCCTCCTTCTTTCCTGCCCTCCTTCTTTCCCCAGCTTTATATGCTGAGCATGATGTCATATGGTATGGAATATCCCTTTTTAGTCAGTTGGGATCAGCTGTCCCAGCTGTGTCCCCTCCCAACTTCTTGTGCACCCCCAGCCTACTTGCCCCATACTAGCTACCAGGAAGAAAATCAATAGCTACTAGGAAGAAAATCAACTCAATCCTGGCCAAAACCTGCACGTAGGTCTTCCAGAGTTTGGTTTTGTAGTGGGGCTTTTTTGGTTTTGAATTTTTTATTTATTTTGTTTGTGTTCTTATTTTTCTCTTGTTCAAACAAAAGAAAAATAAGAACACTAAATCATCTGCCAAAGACAAGGCTGATGAAAACTTTTGATAATTCAGGAAGTAAACTAATCAAACAAGAAACAGCAGTTTAGATGAAGCAGTAAAACTAGAACCATTTTTTCTATAGCAACACATAGTCCTATATAGCTGATGCTAACTGGTCGGCTGTATGAACCAAATTATGTATGTTCTGCAAATCAATTCTCATTTAAATTTTACACTTAGAAAAGTAGGAATTTAAAACTACAGCAGAGTATCTTAACTATTCTGTTTACATTTACTTACCAAACATCACACTAGTTTGAAGTAATCAGCAGATACTTAGAACTTGCATTTGTAACATTAAGGATCTATGCATTAGTTACAGTAAAAAAAAAAATCTGACACTATTATTTCATTAAATATGAGCTTGCAATTTACTAAAAATCTAAAACAATAGGAAATCTTCATTCTAGGTACGCTATTACCATCAGCAGGTGTATTGCATAAAAACTATGCCAAATAGCAAACATTTTTAGATCCCCAGTCTAACTGAACAGCAAGTTCTTACCTTTCTGGTACATACTTTTTGACAAAATAAGTAATTTTTCTCATTTGTGAGGGAGCAGGAGCAATGCAATACCTGCAACATGTATTTCACATCATCTTTTTATTATTTTTAAATATAAAATATTGTAGTGTAAGAGCATCTTCTGTCTGAGATATACGTATGGCCGTGACTGTCATATCCTCATGAAGTATTAATACACCATGAAACAAAAGTGTGTTACACAGTCATTCCACTGTGTTTTCACCTACCACGTCGCTGTACTTACCTTGGAATACAGCTTTACAGATTAAGCAGTTTACACAAAATGTCTGCTATACTGCCAAGTTGCAAAGCATTCCTTTCTTATGTGTCCTTTGCAAACTGCAAGCCTATTATCAATTGACATGCTTTGCATATCAAAAATACTCACCATCCACCAATAATTTATTAAAAAGACAACACATAAAAAGTGCACCATTTTAAAATACGAATTCCCATCTATTTAAATACAAATTTCATTTAAAAAGAACTTAAATATCAATTAAGCTAAAAAACATCAATTTCCTTTAAAAACTGAAGACAGAAGGTACCAAAAGATATCATAACAACACTTTTCAATAATCAGCTCTTTTTTGTCATACCTTAGCACACTGTATGAATATTGTATAAAGCCTCAATAAATTTTATCACTTTATTATGGCTTAAAGTATTATAGAGTATAGAAAATGAGTCTTTCTAAAATCTTTTTATCTTCTTCCCACTTGAAATACGCTTTCATGTTTAAAAAGAAAAACTTTGACTGATCATTTACATTGATTTCCATGATTCTTTTGAGATATGGAAAAAGATAACCATGAAAACTAAAATACAGTAACATAATTGGTATGAATAATAGACAATGAAGGTAGACAATTAATATCGTTGGGGAGTTTTTTTATATATGTAATTCAATATATTAACAATCTGTGCACTATTGAAACATTTTGAATTATTTCTCAAATAATTAAAACAATTACTAAAATTTGAAACTGTACACTTCAAATTTTATAATTAATAGAATCTCTTATGAAAATGTTATTGCAGATATACATTAAATTGTATAAATTTAGATTTGCACAATAGGTGTAGAAAACCACAGAAAGATATTTCATTATACACCTGGATTTTCAACTTTCATAGTATTCAGACTTTAAAGATAAAGTAATTTTTAGAGCCTATTAAAAAATAATAAGTAAAAAAAAAAATTATCATGCTGGCTTTGGAATTTTCCAAATTCTGATAGCTATTACACCAAATTAGTGATAGAAAACCATGAAAATTCTTTTAGCTAGTTCTTCACAAAACTTCCTATTCCACTCATTCGATGTATAAGGAAATCAAATGTAATCAGACCTCAAGGTAGGTTATTTCAGCTAGCAGGTTAGTAGTAATGGTCATCTGTCTAAAACCCTACAAAAGCCTGAAAATAATACCAACTGTTGCATTGAACTACTAAAACAACACTGAAGACAAATATATTTTATTAATACAGCAAGCTGTTAGAAAGCAAGCAAAGTGAAAACTCACAAATTCATTATTTTTTAAAAGAAAAAGGGCAGTAAATTAGTCAATCTCCATGCTGGCTCATTCTTTGTTATGTGCTAAACAGATTACATTGGCTGTGTCAAAATTAGGAATGCAACATGGTTTTACAGAATGATGCCCACTATTTACATTGACTTGAGGCATCCCAATCGTGGACTGAAACTTGACAGTCTAATGCTTTAGTACTTCATTTTTATCATAACTGAAATAAATTGACTTAGACATAGCTGTAAAATTCTTGGGTTTTAGTGATAAAAGTTAGGGGATTTTTAGTCAGCACAAAAAAGTTGGTAGTGTGCAGCTACCATCATAGTTTATATCGTATCACTGAGAACAAACAAATAAAAAACCAATTCGGGTTACACAGTTTAAGGCTGGTGAATACTCTATTGGCAGAATGTTGCTTCAGCTGCCAGATGAGCTTCTGAGACAAAACACCCAAATACCACAACTAAAACCAGAAAATATAGGCCAAAATTTTGCCAATTGGCAATACATGCCGAATAGAACAAAAGGACAATCCAGGACATAACTGTTTTCAAAATAAAAAAATCTCCTAAAAGATAAGGAGACTAAATGACAATCATTAAAATTGGTTATTACATAAATAACCTCTTCTTCTGAGGCTTTAATTCTCTCTAAAAAGATATCTAATATGACCTCTCTAAGAAAAACTGCTCAACAGTTACGTGATATATGACAACATCATTGTCTTAGTTTATGAAGAAAGACTCTGCTATATGTCATACTATATTAAATATTGTACTAAAATCAAAGTTATTACAACTATAATAAATATAGTTTTAAAAAACATTTAAAGTACAATTTTATTTACATGCAAGCCTGTCAAAGGAACAACCTCCAGAAGAAAATAGTCTTGAAAATAGGCCTATTTAAAGCACAGAAGATCCACTACTTTATTGGAGGTGATGTGTTTTAGAAGGGCAAGTATCGGATTTTTATTAACTGGCTGCAACTGTGTTATCGGCTACTGGAAATACTGAAAGAATTCCACGAGTCTGTATTGCCTCCCCACCTATGTCTTCGTTGCAGAGGTGGCCTTTGCGTGTTTTTGTGGGGAGGTACCACTGAATTCATGACAATAGGTATGGATATTTGATATTCGTATCGTTCCAACATCTGAGCAATCTTCTCACGAGTGACCCCATGTTTATTCCTCCTACAAAAATAAAAATTTAAATAAATTGTCTGGTATGTTTATATGTTTACAGTCTTTAAGAAAAAGAAAAAAACTCTCTAATTTCACAGCTTTTCTTCTTGCTTTTCATATTTGAAATTTCACTTTTATTACACTGTATCCTCATTCTCTCAGTATTCAACTTGTGTTAAGGTTTATTTTAACAATTCACCACTGCATATATTCAGTAACAAAAAACAATACAGTTATTCTTCTTCATACAGCAATCCGATGTTATTCACCAGGACTATGTACCTAAATAATCCTAGAAGGACTTTGCTTTCTATTTATTCATCAGATTTTACATGGCATACTAGCTAATGAGCGAAGGAATGAATAATATTTTAGACTACTACTTATGAAAGCAATGTTCAAACTAGCACAAAAAAAAATAAACTACATGGTTTCACAACTTCATGATAGAATATTTTCTTACCAATAAATCTCTATAGAAAATAAGGAGCAATTTTAGTTTTGAAGCAGAACAGCATGCTCACGATACCTTCATCTATTAGCTCGAATTGATACTTGCTGTAAATTTAGAAATGTACTAAAACACATATAAAGGAAGAGAGGCCAAAAGCGTTGTCCTATTCTTGCAGTGTTTAGTGAACAGCTACTTTGACAGAGAACTTGGCCTATTAAGAACCTGGGACATTAGACAATACATTAGAATGCATCTACTTCCTTATTACCTATGGAATAGGATCTTAAAGTCCATGTTAGCAGAAAAATTCAGTCTCTGCTAAAAAGAAAACCACAAGGCTCATGCACAAACTGAATGCCTGCACTGTAACAGAACTGAATCTAAAAGACCAGATATGAAACATAAACAAAATGTTTTGATAGTGTAGGCAAGCATTTATCATAACCCAGTATATTCTTATCACCAAGAAACTTTGTCCGAGCTGAACTACTTCCAAGTCAAACCTATAGGGAATATATGTCTGCATCTTTGTGCATTCTGACAGGGTCAGAAGAGGCATGGGCCTCCTCACCAACTTGCTGAGTTCTGTAGAGGAGAAACCAATACTGGGAACAAACAGGCTATGCTGTAAAGAGGATACTCTACACAGAATCATAGAATCATAGAATCGTTAGGGCTGGAAAGGACCTTCAAAGGTCATCTAGTCCAACCCCCCTGCAAGGAACAGGGATATCTCCAACTAGATCAGGTTGCTCAGGGCCTCGTCCAACCGGGCCTTGAACGTCTCCAGGGATGGAGCATCCACCACCTCTCTGGGCAACCTGTTCCAGTGTTCCACAACTATCATGGTAAAAAATTTTTTCCTAATATCCAACCTGAATCTACCTCCCTCTATTTTAAAACCATTAACCCTTGTCCTATCACAACAGGCCCTCCTGAACAGCCTCTCCCCATCTTTCTTGTAGGCCCCCTTGAGGTACTGGAAGACTGCTATAAGGTCACCCCGGAGCCTCCTCTTCTCCAGGCTGAACAGCCCCAACTCTTTCAGCCTGTCCTCATAGGAAAAGTGCTCCAGCCCTCTTATCATCTTCGTGGCCCTCCTCTGGACCCTCTCCAACCGGTCCATGTCCTTCTTATGTTGGGGACTCCAGAACTGGACGCAATACTCCAAGTGAGGTCTCACGAGGGCAGAGTAGAGGGGGAGAATCACCTCCCTCGACCTGCTGGCCACGCTCCTCTTGATGCAGCCCAGGACGCGGTTGGCCTTCTGGGCCGCAAGAGCACATTGCCGGCTCATAAAGTACTTAAAAAGACTGATTTCCTCCCCATCCCAGGAATTCGTGTGCATTATTGCAACAAAGAAGTACGTATCAAGCTGATGAGGGTTCAAAGCATACTGCAGGTATTTTCTGCACATTAGTTTCACAGTCAGAATGGAACTAAAATTAGTGATTTCAGAAGTATTCAGAATTATGCTGGCTCAAGGTGTATTTTATCAGCTTGCTTTCTGAGAAGAAGAGGCTTAAGTAGAGCACTTCTCTCATAGCCACTCTTTCAGAAGCTAGAGTGATCATCACAAGCTGCTCATTGTTTAAATGCTGCTAATGCCTACATTGTGGTAAAGTTAAAGTCCAGGAGCAGCAGTGTAGTGAACTTACCAGTTTACAAGACTTAACAGTTTTTATTTTACTCACAAATATGAACAAGGTTAATGGTAGAGAAAAAAGCCAATTCTATAGAAATACAGGGACACTATAAAGCACCTGACTCTCATGACAGAAAAAACTGGGAAGAGGGAGTCTAAGTACTTTTTTGCCAAATGATGGAAGCACAAAGTTATTCAATATTTTCCATACCTTAGTACTCCTAGAAAAAGATTACAGCTCAAGTGTTCTGGGCATTAAGTGCACACTCATCCACAACTGAATGGACTTATATATAATGTGTGTATATATATGTATAATCACTTCAGAAATGAGGAAGTACTTTTCCTTAAAGAACACCGACAGCAAAATCGCATCAAGCATAGAAATTAATTTTAAAAAGGAAACAAATCTGCTGTAAGGTGTCATTTAATACTGGGATCTCGTTTTCAGGCATGTCTTCACTCATCCTTTGGTGGCTTGGCTATGCTGAAAGTGTTTAAAGCTACCTACCCTTAACCAACACAGATGTACCAGCAAAAGCTCCTACAAGAGTTGTGCTTGGGAAGCTGGTTTCGCTTGGGGGAACACAGAATCTATTCATAAAAGCAAAGTCCTGTCACTGTTAAATGCATCTACACTAGAAGAATCTTACATACCAAGATATTGCCAGAGTAATCCTGCATAGACATTACTACTTAAAAGAATCAGCACAAGTTTAATGAAGTTACACAGCAGGCAACTTTTTAAAAACTAAAACATCTGTCCCAAAACACAGATTATACACAGGATTCCTCTTATTCTCCAAAAGCTTGAATCAAATGTATACCTTTTTTTTTAAAAAAAAATTCTAGTTCCCAACTGACCAGCTACTCAGAAACCATACAAACGTGACAGACGGTGATTTTTTCATCCAACACTGATTAAATACTTAGAATTTATTATTATTATTATTTTCTTTTTTTTTTTCTCTTCTACCAGCGATTTTGCCACTCATTTGGTCTCTCACCTGCAGTTTTCAAGATTTCCTAAAAATGGTATCAAATTACAAAATCTGTTATACAAAGGTCCAAATGCTATGCAAGAAATCTTGAGCACTACTGCAAGGCATCTGTGGAGTTAAGATGTTTTCACAAAAGTTATGTGCACAAAACTGAACTAAAAGCAAAATCACTCATGAGTGACTCTAAAGATAATTTGTACCACACAGACACACTAGAAGACTAAAGACACTGACACCTGTTCCATACTAAAACACCTGTCACGTTCTTGACATCAAGAATTCACCCAGTATTGACCTACAAAGCCTTGTCACAGATTTCTCAAAGACACTAGGTGGTGGGAAAACAATCCTATAAAAATAGTATCTGGAAATGCACCTGACTTCTAGAATACCAGCTTATTATATCACTTGCTAAAAGTTACTAACAAACTAGACAGCACCACTAAAAACAAATAAATGAGGACTATATATCCAAAATATAAGAAAAGTCCTTTCCTAATTAAAGTGGGAGCTAGTTTACCTTTTATTCCAGCTACTAGAAACAGAGATCTTGTAAGTGATCTCGTCTAGGAAGGAATTAGAATGTATGATTCTAGATAACTAATAAAATTACTCACATTTATTATCAGCATAGTATGTGCCCAAGTACTGCACAAAAAAGTTGAAAAAATCAAAATTCATAAGGGGAATTCCAAAACTACAATAATATCTCCATCATTATCTATTTCCCAAATACAGGAATATGGAAAATAAACCCCTTAAAAATTGAGCCCTCTCTCCAAGCAACTGAAAAACAAAATGAAACCTCACATAACCACCTTTCCTAAAATATCAAAAAACAAAGCTTCCAGACAATGGTCCTCTATTCAAATATTTAAAGCAACTGGAGCTGCTCAAACATTTCTAGGAAGCTTCTAAGAACTAGTTGATTCTTGAACTTCATGGTTCAAGGATTTTCCTTTGGTTTTGGGAAAGATATAAACTTTACTCCTACAACTAATGACTGGACAATTAAATTCAAAGTAAGAACACTTCACGTTTATTTATCCTGTTACCTGTTAAGACCATATGAAAACATGAATTTTCCTGGAAAATGAGTCTGTCTCACATAATGGAAATCTCACACTGAACATTTTAGAAATGTCTGATCACTAAGACAGCTTCCTAACTTGGCTGTGCTGAGCCCTGAACTAGAAAAACTTTTTACAATTCATCCCAGAGAGGGCGGGCTCAATCTCTAAAAGTAAATTAGTGTTAGCTTAGGAGCAAAAAGTGAAAACTTTAAAAGATTTATAAACACAATAAAGTCTGAGTCAGGCATACAAGGGCTACTTTACAAAACTGAAACAATTACAAGCCAAGTCAGTTGGAAGTATACAAAACTACAATGTGTGAGAGAACTCTTGTGATTAACCATTAAAATATTACATTACATTTCAAACAATGAAATATCCCTAAGCTGGTTTGGTACCACATAGATTCCTAAAGCAGATACATCTGAGACAAGGGAGACAGTAACCAGGAATAATAAGCAGCTTCCCAGGCACTCTCACAACCCAGAAGTCCAGTGACAATTTGACAAAATCTTACAGTAGAATAATCTAAAATATGAGTTTTCTTTTTAACCATTACTGATGAGTAATGGGCTGTTGTTCTTTGACACTGAGATATCTATAAAAGTAGACAAAACAAAGCACTTATACTGATGTGCTCCTTGCAAAATGTGTAATTTTTTTTGTCTTCCACCTACTTCTTGTTGTCAGTGTTCTGTAGCAATAAATTTCTGAGAATAATTATTCATTATAATAGTAGTGATTCTGACAGGGGTCAATGATTTTTCTACTCATGTCCAACAAAATTTTAATATTGACTTTTTGGGCCAGTAAGATAGGACCTCTATTTATTTTTC